TGTTTTGAAAATTTTGGTTTATGAATGAAAAGTTTTGAAAACAACACCCTAATTGGTGGCATATGGATGTGTATGTATGTATGTATGTATGTAGGGGGAAATACCCTCGGAAAGCAATCAAAATTCCATACATATTGCAGTCACCAACGCGGAAGGACGACTGCAGACTTCTACTACGCAGTTGGCTGCAAAATCACAAACAAATTAAAGCACAAAGTTGTTTTGCTGATATGTTGTTTATCCGCACCGACTCGTAAAAGTATTGAAACACATACATACATATGTTTGTATGCGGCTAACAAGGCCTTATTAAATATCATATTTATTTACATCGAAGACAATGTAAACAAACAATCCTTAATATTAAATTTATGTACAACAAATTAAACAAACAGTTTTATATGTAATGTGAAAGTCATTCAACATATAAATACATACGTACACTTTTTTCGATTTTGAACCAAAGCTGTACTTCCTTATTTTTGTTTGGCCGAGTTCCACCTCTTATTTAAATTGAACAAATTAAACTAAAATAACATAAAATAAAAGAAATAAACTACAATCAAATTAACATAAATTAAATAAAATGAAATAAAATGAAGTAAAATAAAATAAACTAAAATAAATGAAAAATTTATTACAAAATTCAACTAAAATTAATTAAATTAATTTAAACCAAATGAAATAAAATAACTTAAGTAAAATAAAAGATCAAATGGAACAGATTAAATTAAATAAGATAAAATTAATGAAAAAAATATTATAAAATGAAATGAAATTAAATTAAATAATATAACATAAGGTAACATAAAATAATATAAAATAAAATAAAATATCAATTATTACAACATAATTAAAATTAGCAAACAAATTAAATTAAAATATAATAAAATAAAATTTTATTAAATAAGTAAAAAATAAATCAAATTATATAAAGGGAAATAACAAAAAATCAAACAAAAAAAAAGGAAGTAAAATCTTATAATATAGAAATAATTTGAAATAAAATAAAAGAAGTAAACTAAAAACAAATAAAATTAAATTAACATTAATGAAATAAAATAAAGTAAATAAAATAAAACAAAATAAAATGAAGTAAAATAAAATAAAATGAAATGAAATGAAATAAGATAAAATAAATGAAAAAAATATTTTAATATGAAACTAAATTAAATTAAATGAAATAAAATAATATAACTTCAAGTAAAATAAAATAAAATAAAGTAAAAAAGTAAAATTAAACAAAATTAATATAAATATAAATAATAAAATTAATATAAATAAAACAAAATTAAATTAATTAAATTAAATAAAAATAATTTTAATAAATTAAAAAAGAATAAAATTAAAATAGATAAAATAAAAACCAATTTAAATAAAATAAAATATAGTAATACAAAACAAATAAAAATAAAATAAAAATAAAATAAAATAAAATAAAATAAAAATAAAATAAAATAAAATAAAATAAAAATAAAATAAAATAAAATAAATAAAACAAAATAAAATAAAGTAAAATATGATTAAAAGAAATTTAAATAAAATAATTAAGCTAAAATTAAATGGAATTAAATTGAATGAAATAAAATAATATAACTTCAAGTAAAATAAAATAAAATAAGGTTAAAAAATTAAATTAAATAAAATTAATATAAATAATTTAAATTAAATAAAATAAAACAAAATTAAATTAATATTTATAAAATAAAGAAAATAAAATAAAAAATAATCAAAACCAATTAAAATTAAATAAAATAAAGTAAAATAGATAAAAATAAACTAAAAAAAAGTAAACAATTTTAAATAAAATAAGGAAATTAAAATTTAATGAAATTAAATTAAATTAATATAAATGAAATAAAATAAAACAAAATAAGATAAGGTAAATAAAATAGAATAAAATAAAATGAACTGAAATAAAAAATAATAATGTTAAATGAAATTGAACATAATAAAATAAATCAAAATTAAATAAAATAAAATAGAAGAATTTAATATAAAGTAAAATGCAATCAGAAAAAATTTAAATTAAATAAATAAACTAAACTATATTAAATTAATATGAATAAAATAAAATAGTATAAAATAAAATAAAATAAAATAAACCTTAATAAAATAAAATAATGTAATATAAAATGAAATAGAACTAAACTAGACAAATAATAGTAATAAATAAATAATAATGAAATAAAATTAAATAAAATTAACTAAAATAAAATAAAGTTAAATAAAAGTAATTAAAATGAAATAAAAAAAAATTTAATTAAATAAAAAATAGAAGCTTGATATTTTAAAATTTATTTCTATAAGCTAAAAGCCAATTTGTTCAAAAAAGTAACCTCTATAATATTCGTTGATTAAACCTTTGCGAAATATTACGTGCTAAACACAAAGTCATTTAAATAGCGGATATTTCGCGGAAAATATATTTTAGCCAGCCTAAGAATCTTCATATGCATACGTATATATTTTGCGATGCTTTTCGAATCACTATAGAAATCTTAAGGTTTTATTCATATTTTTTTTTATTGATAATTAACAACTATAAAAACTAATTACATTAATTTATAGAAATCGAACATCTTTCGACTCGAAACAAAAATCCACTCTGTACATACGAACATACATAGACGTACATACATATCCCTCCACATGCAAGGTAATTGTTTAATTCTAAATAAATATTTGCATTTAATTGCCTTTGCTTTGAATTTATCATTGAATTTCACAATTCACAAGTCAGCACCGAACATCACATCCAATAGGTCAGTGCCCATGTGCTACGTGTTGGTCAAAAAGTCATTCACGACCGCAAAACGCATTGCACAATTGAGGCTGCCGCGGATGTTGAGCCGCCAAGCGAACAAGCATATAATCATTGAGGCGATTGGCTAGACAGTCAGCCGGTCAGCTAGCCTAAGTGATCGACTAACTAACTAACTGGCGTGCGATATCAAACAACAATAACAACATTAAAATTGTTTATAAAAGCTACTGTGCTTTGTATATACATACATTTACATACAGACATAAGCTACTAGTCATTTGTATTGAAATTTGTGAGTAAACATTAATTTGACTGCAAATATTTACAAATTGCGCTAGAAACGGCGTGTTCCCAGCCAAAACCACAAAAAAGGAGGCAAATAAGAAGGAAAAGTGGTATGAAAAACTTAGATAAAAAGGAAAATGACAACTGAAATAAATTAAGTCTTTTCCAATGAAAATTGTTTACATGTATCTGTGTGTGTGTGTTGATGCATGTATTGCGATCATAACTGTGTATTTCATAAATTTAAAAAGTGTCGATTGATAAAATTCAGCATAAACATAACACACATACATACTGTATGAAAATGTTTTCCAGATCAACGCCGAAGAAAGCAGAACAATACACATCACGCAGCCAGCCACGCGCCAGCGGCTGAACAATGAGCGAGTGAGATCAAGTAAATGATGATCGGAGCACAAATTTGGTAGAGAGACAAAGAGAGAGGACGAAGGTGAGGCAGTGACTGATGAGTTGGTGGCTGGTGGATCATCGAAAAGACTCTTCTTAAAGAATGTTCTTTAGGAAGAAGAAAAACTGTTTTTGTTTGTTCAAAAAGTACTTATCCTTCAAGAAGAGTTCTTCACAGATATTTCAGTATATGGTAGTTAAAAGTGCTGCACCTCGCCCCCACTTGGTGGCAAACGAGTGTTGGAAAGAGAGCTCCACCCCACTGGAGTTTGTCCAACTGACTAGACATTTTGTATGGAGCCCAGCAACCAGCCTCGAACATATCTTTGAAGACAATGAAGTAGAAAACCCTTAGCTAGAGAAGTTGCGTATGTCACACTCAGACCTGTCGGACCGTTTTGGTTCCAATGGCGGGTCTATGAAAGAGGCTCCCTTCCGGTGTCCGGTTGTAATGCCGCTTGTTATGTTTATTGAGGTCCTATTTAGCAGAACCAAATATGTTTGGTTACTTAGCACCATCTGGTATTGGCTCGTTGTTAGCAGGGCAGGTATTTCGCTAGGGATAAAGATTTGTTCACGTGGTGTGCAGGATTTATTGGGGTTAGCACAATTACCCGTCTAGTGTGCCTATCCGTCTCCCTACTAGCTGAGGCGCCTCTGCTTTACTTTTCTTCTTTTCGCTCTTCTTCTTTTCCTCTTTCTCCCTCTTCTCCCGCCTTTTCTTCTTCTTATTCTTCTTCGTATTTCTTATGTCGTTAACGTCGAGGGAAAGATCCGTCTCAAATCAATGAAATATTTGAACACAAAGATTCTCCGAGTTTCATCTAAATCTGTATGACATGAGGCTCCATTGTAGACTCGGCTAAAGGATTTATTATTCGCTTATTTGTTGTAGTCATACCATAAATAATTGCCTCAAGTTAACCTCCCTTCTGTGCCTGGACGTCAGTCGAGTCCAGCACATGACTCATGCTCACATTTTAGGGATCGTACATTAGTTATTACCATCGACGAGTTCAACACACGCCACCTACGCCATTTAAATAAACAATAGAAAGCAACAACACCAAAAACACTATAAATCGTAAAAGAACAAAAAAATAATTATAATTTGTTGTTGCTCTTCAAACCAAAAAAAAAAAAAACACACACACAGACAGGCAGACCGACAGACGGATAGACCAAATCAGCGAATAAGATGATTATTTTCTTTCATCTCCTCCGTCCGTCCAATAACAAAAATAAACTGATTCATAATAATTTTCCCAACTCAAATTAAATTTGCTGCCTGACGCTACCAATAAATTGTTTGGCAATAAAACTGGCAGCAACACATGTCGGCTCGCTGGTGTGTGTCGTGTAGTTCGGTGTAGTGGCGCATGCAAATCATCATATCACCAGCTTAATTTGGCTTTTATACGCGGACATATGCGACATAATGCCTAGACACACACACACACACACACACTCACACTCACACTCACAAGACGAGCAAATAAACAATTATTAATGTATGTTAAAATTAGTTTTGTTTACTCACCCACAGTCTTGATTATTTGAAAATCATCCAGATGATATTTGCGTACACCTTTCGCTGTTTCCACGCTGCTGCTGTCATCTGTCTCATCATCATCACCCTCATCGTCAGTCTCATTACCATCATCTTCCTCATCGGGATCATCCTCTTCCTCCTCTTCGGGATCATCGTCCTCTTCATCGAGCTCCTCATCATCATCATCAGCATCTTCTTCCGCATCGTCTTCATCTTCTTCACCTTGTACAACTTTATGCGCCTTTCGTCGCGCTTCATCGTCTACTACGCACTTTGGCGCCTCCTCCTCCTCTTCCTCGTCTTCTTCGCTACAATCTGACTCTAAGGGATCTGAAGATTCACTGGAGCCCACACTGTGACTATTGGTTTTACCATTGGCCGCTTTGAGATTGTGTCGTGCATTGCCGAGCTTCAGTGTGTATGTGGCCTCATTGGTGTTGGGTTTTTTATCAAAGAATAGCGAAGTGTTGGGCGCCATTTTATTGCCCGCGCTGGCGCCCAAGTTACGCAGCCGTGTGTATGTGGTGGCCGACATTGAGTTTTGTTTGTGTGGACTTTTGTGTGGGGATTTTATTTAACGAGGAATTAGTTGCAACCTTCAGTGTCTAGAAGTGGAGGAGAATTGAAAAAAAAAATATTTATAAAAATATATTTAATAACTTTATAGTAAAAATTTCAAATAAAAAACAAAAAACAATATTTTCCTTTTATTTTTGTTGGGGAATCGGCTGTCCGTAGAGGTGTACAGATTCCCTATAAATTTGCGCGACTGCTTCCGTCCTCGAACTCTTCCTCCGTCTCTCTCTTCCGGATATTTACTTTCTTAGGTGAGAGTTCTGTTTCCTGAAGATGACTTTCAAGCTAATGCTCTCGACTTCATGTAGTGACTGCGTGAACATTTCTCGGACTCTCAGGATGTGTCTTAAGCGACAGGAGACAAGCAGCCAAAACTAACACTGCATAGGGAGTTGTGGCGATGGCGTCTACATGTCACTGCTTTTTGGAACAAGAAGACCAAGCAGTTTGCAGAGCTGAAAGACTGTCAAGACCTTTTTTCTAAGGATATTTTATCGCAAAATACAAAGGAAGCGGTGAAGAGGACAACATCTCTTCTGACTAACCACCAGATTCACCTCAAGGCAACTGTGCAAGCACCATCAACAATTAACTAAGTGGATCGGTAAAATTCTCCCTCTCTCCCCCTCTCTTTGAGTGTGATGAGAGCAGAGAACAATGATCACACGCGAGGTCGAATCTTCAACCTCCGTTTGACACTAAATCAAGATCAAAAAGTAATCTGCTTGGATCAACTACGCAATAAAAGCTGATTAGTCCGAATGCAGTAGCCGACATGCGAACGGTCGGAGTACGACTACTGGTTCGACCAACATCCAAAATTATAATTACCTTTTCTAATTACGCAAGCCCCTCGGCTATTAATATCAAGCCCTCCGTGTGTATTTCTGTTATAAATTAAAATCTCTTCATAAAAAAAAAATCCACGGGCATTCGGAGGTGGCTTAGTATCATACAGTTTGTATGGTTACTGATGATAAAAAAAACTTACAGCAACGTCAAATGAAATCGATCGTGGTCGAAGGCCGGTAAGCCGGCAGAAGCGGTCTCAAAGTCTGGATTGACTGCCAGGAAGATTTTGTTGCATATTTTTGATGGAATTGACAAGGAAATCTCCGATTTGAGCTGCTACCCAGCAACGAAGCTTTTAATACGGAGCTATACTGGTAGAAATTGGAAAGGAAGCAATCGCCTAGAAACACCCAGCTTTGGCCAACAGCATGGAAATTGTGTTTCAGCCAGACCACACACATCGATAGTGAAAGGACAGAAGCGCCGTGAGCTTGGTCGGGAGGTTCATATGCCAAGTGATTGGCAGCTGATGCCAACTCTATTGTGAGTTTTTTGGCCGGTTATGAATCGAACTCAAGAGAAGAATGTGAAAATCGAACAAGGGTTTCTCTGAGAGCGGCATAATGGCTGGCAAAAAGTTATTAAGAAAGACGTTGCATATTTGACAAAAACCGAGTTATTCTGACTATGGTAAATAAAGCCAACAATTTAATGCCAAAATAATAGTTTAATTTCTACTAGACCAATGCAATCGAAGGAGAGGTAGAGTAAGGCAGAGAAAGAGAGAGATATGTTGATACGTAAAGGATTACATAAGAGGAATATAGAGCTCTGTAGCTGCTGCAGTCTTACAAAGCTTAATTTTTATGCCAGTAAAAAAATCAAAAAATCGTTATTTGCTATGTTTTTCAAATTGAACACACAAATCTGTGTCAGTGGCAGCACTGCAGCAGTATTGTATTAAATCATTTGAATATCCAAATCGATGACATTGTAATCAAAAACTATGACAAACTCATTAAGACTTTAAATGCCATCCATGAATAGCAACAACACGCCAAGAAAATAAAAAAATAATAAAACTAAGCACAATTTTCAACTGCAATATGATTTCCAATTTAAATTTCCATTTTCGATAACATTCAGAGGCACAACTACACTTAAGAGATACACAAATACAAATGACAAACGAAATTTAGGTTGCCACTTGTATGTTGTAGATATGTACATATATATTTTTCATAAAAGTCATGGAAGGACAAAAGCCTGTCAAGCCTACAATTCTCATTTTGACAAGCCAATTCAGTAATGTAGACACATTGATACCTTCATATGTATATGTAAATATGTTGTATATATGTAAGTACATACATCGATGTTACGTTGTGATTCCGACACTTGCAATGGGCGATGTAGCAAATGCATTTTTGTGCACAAGCAGACATAGTTTGGATGTCAGCTTTTCAGGCAATAATAGCAATGAGTATGCATTTACTTTCAGAATAGCACAATTTAATTTTATTTTATTTCTTTTTTCACTTTTCAATTATCGTCATGTGACCTAATGACATAATAATTATTGTTTTTTTTTTATTTCAATTACCCCCATCAATAGTTTAGAGCTTAGCAGACAAGTGTGTGTGTGGGTATGTGTAAAATCAAGTGAATATATGCATGTAAATACATATATATATGTGCATGTATATATGTACATGCACTCATAAATCTATTAACCCCATTCACTCATCTCATTTCACCACCTACTCGACCATGTACTAATTGGCAGGCAGTGTGCAAAGGAGTAAGCGAGCCTCTGTCCTCCTCCGTTCCTTGCTTTCTTTTCAAATATTGCAATTGGCACACATACAGATATATTATATACATACAAGCATTCATTTGTCTAGATCATTGTCGCCATTTTTTCTTGCATAAAACAATTTTAATTTTTTTTTTACTTCTTTATTTTAATTTTTTTTCTTTTGTAGACAATATTGTAAATGGCTTATACATATATGTATATATAAATGCATATATATAAACATGATATGTAAACTGCATATGCGCATGCATTTGTTTTTGCTTATATGTGTGGATAATTTGTGTCAGTAGCACTTGACTGTTGCCCCTATTGTATGTATGTATGTATGTGACTGCCACCACCCACATCAATCAAAATGTTTGGAAGAGAAAGCGAAAATATTATTATTTTTTTTTAATATCTGCAGGCTACAGTCGGTAATGTTGGGTAAAGTAAAATTTCTAGGAGATGAATGCATAAAACACACGTATCCTCCACTAACTAGTTATGAACTAGACTGATAGTAATGATGCGAATTAACGAAATTTTAATAATTTGTAAACTTCTTTTTGCAGGCATTCACTCGAACAGTCATTTCGGAGTCAAAAAAAGGAAATAGAATCAAGCACCTTTAATTTACGAGTTTTTTTCGGAGTCAAAAGTAAAGTAAGAAAACTGATCGAGTTCTGTATTACATATGTAAATAATATGTTATTAACCTCTGTTAATAAGCTGTGGCATAATATTTATCGTATAAAGTTGAACACGTTTTAGAGTTTTTCGGAGTCAAACGTAGAAGTTAATTACTCAGAAAAAATGATGCTCATTATGGAAATAATAAATAATGGTTTGGTAATCTTCTCCCAGGTGTTGAATCGGTCACATTCAAATTCGCTGTTTTTTCGGAGTCAAAGGAAGAATAAGAAAGCTTGTCAAAGAATGATGTATAAGTGCCGTGGTGAAAGTTGTAACCTCTTTCTATATCTAGAGTCGAGAAGATTCAATTTCAAAATATTTTTTCAAAGTCAAAAGTGTAATTGAAAGATACATGTAAGAATTATCTATCATATACTGTATTGGAGTAGTAAATAGAAGACCTCAAATCTATTTTTCGCAGTGCTGAGTTGAGCAGATTCGTTTTCGGATATTTTTCGGAGTCAAAAGAAAAGATGGAAAATTAATCGAAATTAATCGAAAAATTATAAATATATTGAAGTAGTAGTAACTAACTTCTTTTTTCAGGAGATGTAGGCCAACATTTTCGGAGTATTTTCCAAATCAAATAGAACGAAATAAAAGTATGATGTATCAAAGCCTAGAAATCGGCAAATCTCTTTTTCGCAGCGTGGAAACGAGCAGAATAAATTTCGGAATTTTTCGGAGTTTAAAGTAAATCAAGAAAATGGTTTAAAAAATTATATTTGAATTAAAGTAGTAAGCAAAAATTACTAAAAATTTTTTTTGCAGCAGAGAGGGAGACAATTTCGGAGTTTTTCGGAGTCAAAAATTAATGTTCAATGTATCAATGCCTGCATAAGAGCAGTACATGAAAGATCACAAATTCCTTTGTCTAGTGCAGAGTTGAGCAGATTCAATTTCGGAATTATTTCGGAGTCAAGCAGGGATTAAATTAAAGTAGTAAATCTCAAAGTACTAACCTTTTTTTCCAGATGTACAGTCGTGCAGAATCAATTTTCGAATTTTTTGTAATAGAAATTCGTACAACTAATTGAATAGATCAGTCATTTTCGAAATCGAGGAGGCAATCGAGTTATTGTAATCATTGGTTGATAAATTGAGATCGATAGGTAGGCTTTTTAGGTACTTTAAGTAATAATGGAATTTTTCCATATTTTCAGAGACGTCTAGGAAATATTTATGTTCTAGCTAGATCATTGCGAATAACTACTCTCACCTTTTCGGGAACACTGAGGCATTTACAGGCAGCGAGAAGCTACTCTCGCTCTCAGAAGGTCATTGTGCATAACTGCTCCCAACTTTACGAGCGTATATAGGCATTAAGGCTACTACTGATGAATAACCATTCCGACCTCCTCCAACTCGCTTCTTAGAAATTAGGAATTAAAATAACTCTCTCCCTCAGCGCTTAACCTATTTATTAATCAAATGAACTACCTTCCTGCCATTGAAACTTCCATTAACTCAATTCTTACATTTTCAATGTCCTTTCTGCACCTCCTTTACCAACTCTACCGATTGTAGCATAAACGTGCATTTTATATTGCCAACGGAACACGAAGAAATGTAGGTTATGAGCTAATGCAGTTTTCTAGCTAATTGACACGAGACCTCGACTGGGTCAACAGCAGTAAAATGTAGTGAGTAATAAGATGTAAAAAATATGGTGTAATAAAAATCAATAAATTAAAAAGAAAAATGGAACGTGCGTGCAAAATGATAAATGAAATGAAAAAAGTA